TTGGGGAGACGTCGGAGGTAGTGACATTGGAGCCACAGCCAAGGTGGACCTGTGGGGGGTGCCCATCAGGGAGGGGGCTCTCTGAAGCTAGAACAGTGCCAGGCACACAGCAGTAAATTGTTGTCAAGTGAATGAATGAAACCACATGTACAAAAGCACCATGAACACTTGGGAAGGGAGGTCCCTGTGGCTAGATCCGGAAAACAGAGAAGGCCGACCCCCCAATCGAGACCAAGCCACGACAGCAACCTAGAACTTGTCTCAGAGGAAGGATGGCCGCAGGTGTATCTGGGCACGATGGAGTTAGATCCTGGTTCAGGCCACCTCTGCCTGGCCGGAAGGACTACCGCCCTGCAAGTTGAGGCTGGGGGACTTCTCTCCAGGGGAACCCCGAGTTGGGGCTCACCTGTCAACACAGGAGATGGACGAATGCTCTTGCCTTTGTGAGTTCATTCCATGGGACTTTTGGGTTTTGAAATCTGAAAGCAAAACAGTTTGCTTATTGCAGTCCCTCTCGGGGCTTATCTGTTTTTCACGTGGGATACCCAAGAGGCCAGGTGTGAACTCAGGGCTCGGGAATCTGCCTGCTTGGCTGCCAGGCCCTGGGTGAGCTGCCTCCAGCCAGGGCAGGAGGACAGCCTGAGAAGTCCCAGACCCGCTTGCCTGGCTCCAGGTGCTGAGGACCAGTCTGGCCCAGGGATTGAGGGGCGATGGAAGGGACGTGGGCTGGGAGTAGGGCCACTGGGTTCCAACCCCGGGTTGTGCCAACCACCCACTCTCGGCTTCAGAGAGATCAGCTGACCTCTCTGAGCCTCAGTTCCCTCATCAGAAATGGGGAGGGCCAATTTGTCCCTTAGAGAAGTTCGACAAGAGTCAGAAGCCCATAGCACACCTGGCGTGGGGCTGGCACACACCACAGGCTATGCTTTGATGTCATATCACCGTCTTTCCTAGAATGTTTACCGTGCATTCCAACAGAGTAAAGAGCCGTCCTGTTTAGATGGAAAATGCACCTTCTGGAAATTTCTGGCTAAGTAGGCTGCTCAATGCTGGATGTCTTTGATTTAAAAAGCCTTTTTCAAGCTCCCAAAAGAAAAACCTCGAAGACAAAGGCAGTTGGAAGACGGCCGGACATCCCCCAGCTCTGAGCATCCCTGGCAGGGTTGGGGGCCACCGATGTGTGCTGCCTCTTTGTTCATTTTACCTAGCAACCGACGGGGAGTGAGGCTGAATTATAGACTCATCACTTTGTGGGCTTTTTTTCTCTTTTGTTGGATAAATTTTCAGCAAGGTTCTGTATCTTTTTTTCAAAGCGTACAACTTACATTAGAAACATGTCTTTGATATTCTATAAAGGGGGGAAAAAAGCATTCCTAAGAAAGTAGAGGCCTTTCCCTAGAAGCATTTTGCCAGGGCTGTGGATTTTCTGGCCCAGTGGGAAGACAGCAGGAGCGCATGGCCTCCCTGACCCCAGTGCCAGAGTACATCGCATCAGGGCCGGCACCCGGTCCCTCCTTCTTCCTCCCGTCCGTCCCCAGCCCCACACCATCCACCCTGTACACCAGCCACCCTTGTGCTTGGAGACCACGCACACCCCTGGCCAGCCCCGGGACAGCTACACAATAGCTCCCCTCGCTTCGAGTGCCAGGCTAGTATTTCCTCCTCCTCCAACGGGACGTATAATAGCACCAACCGGATATTTTTAGATCAGCTCTGAAAAGTCGCAGTGTGTTGAGACCGCATACCAGACACATGAGGTCACCGGGCCCCCGCGCTGGTAATCGCAGAACCAGAGAGCTGGTGGGCCCTCACATCCCGAAGACATTCCCTCCTGTCCCCAGGACGCCGGGCCTGGCTGTTTCCTTAGAAGTCGCCGCAGAGACTTGTCCCGAGTTCAGAAGGGACCGCTGTGGCTCTTCCGGATTTGAATGTGCGTCTCAAGGGGGACTGTGGCAGGCCCTGAAACCAGGCACTGCGGGGACCCAGGACTGGCCCTGGGAGGGAGCCCATGAGGGATTCAAGTGCCCCTTCACCATCTGTTCGTAGTTGGGACAGGCAGGACTTCGTGTGCTTGCTCGTGGGAGCTCATTTTCTCACAGAGCCGGCCTGTCCCCAGCTCAGACGCCACCCCGCAGGGTCTGGAAGTAAAGGAGGAGACAGATCTGCTGTCTGCTTTTCCCAGAGCGGTGGCTCAGGAGCCTGTGGGCTTTACCCTCATATGAAGGTTGAACTTGGAGGAGATGAAACCTGGAAAGAGAGTTTTCTTCCCTAGAGGACCCATCAGGGCCTGCAGCCCACATGGGGCCCTTTTTACAGGAGGAGCTTCAACGACCCTGCCTTGCAAACCCCTCTTCCCTCCCTTGGTACCTAGCAGTGCTTCTCAGCCCGAGCAATTCGGCTTTCTCTGGGGACATGTTTGGTGGTCCTAGGTGCTACTGGCATCTGGCGGGTGGAGACCAGGGATGCTGCCCAGCACCCTACAGTGCGCATAATGGCCTCCCCCTGCAGAGAATGGTCCAGCCCCCAAGTCTCAGCAGTGCCGAGAGTAGGGACCCTGCACTGGGTTCTGTAAATATGCAGGAGAGCAGGGTCGACTGAGGCCCGGCCCCCAGCAGCTGGCCAGTAGCTCAGGCATACACGTCAAGACCTTGTAAAGAAGAGGAGGGGGTGGGCTCTGTGGCCGCTGTCTGACTCCGGAAGGCGCCTCCTCAGGCTGTGCTCCGCCTCTGCAAGGCCATGTGGAGACTGCTCCCCAGTGAAGTGCCCAGCCCCTGTTCCCACCCTGAAGGTACCCCCGATTTTGCAGTCGGGGCCGGGGTGCCTCTCCAGGGCCGTTTCCTCCACTCTTACTCCCCGGCTTGGCAGCTTGGTGGTTGGTTCAGGCTTTACAGCGAGGCCTGCTTCAGGTCTGGAGCCCCTGGGGCAGCAGGGCAGGAAGTCACTCATCCTGTGACCTGATCAGCCAGGAGAGTGACCGGCACATGGGCCCAAGCGGGGCCCTGATCTTAAGCTCTGCTGAATGAGCCATTTTCCAAGGAAGTATCCCAGGCTTTCCAGTGGACACTTTTTTACGGGGCTCCTGGCTTCAGGCGGTCACACCAGAAGCTCTGATCAATGATCAACTGCATCCATCTGCCCTGCAGCGTGAGGGCTTCAAGAAAATCACATCTCCTCATGGTGTCTCCCTGTTCCTGACTCCCCTGGAGGGCCTGGCCACTTCTCTCCACCCTGCCCTTGTCCCCCGCCCTACTAGACCTGCAGACATAGACACACCCCGCAGCAGACCTTGGCGGTGGCCTTGCCACCTCCTCCCAGCTGTGGCCTCCCTGCCTCCCACCCTTCCCGCACGGCCAGCCTCCTCAAATGGGAACATCGGAAACAGCGCGAGCCTGACAGCGTTTTTGCTGCTGCTAAGCTTCCCTTTCTGCATGTGACTTTGGGGTGTCACAGCTCCCCCATGCCATCTCTGCCTCTCTCCCCTCTTCGGCCCAGCCTCACTGTCCCCACTTCTAGTGGCCTCTCATTCCCTGAAACAAGGAACCCCACTCCCCAGGCATCTTCCCTGCCCTGATTTCCCCCAAGGCTCTGTCACACCTTCTCTCTGTCTGTTCTCCCTGTTTGGGTACTGCATAGGAAACAGGTACCCCAGGAGCCTGGCTGAGGGACAGAGGGTATTCTCTGTCGTAATCTGGATGGTGGTCTTATGGGAGACCCTAGGGGGGACCCCACCAAGCCACAGGATCTGTACTCTGTGCCTACTTTCCTCTGCATATTGGGAATGAAGCCCTGATTCATACCACATGGATGAACCCCGAAAACATGCTGAGTGAAAGAAGCCAGACACAAAAAGCCACCATAGTGCATGACCCCATTTACATGAAATGTCCAGAACAGGCAAATTCATAGAGACAGAAAACAGATTTGTGGTTGCCAGGGGCTGGGGGAGGGAGAATGGGGAGAGACTGCTCATGGGGATGGATTTCCTTTTGGGGTGATGGGAAAGTTCTAGAACTAGATAGAGGTGATGGTTGCACAATATTGTGACTATACTAAATGCCACTGAATTGTTCACTTTAAAATACTTAGTTTTAGGGGGTGGAGGTAGAGCTCAGTGGTTACTTAGTGTGCACGAGGTCCTGGGTTCAATCCCCAGTACCTCCATAAAACAATTTTAAAAAATTAAAATAAAACACTCAGTTTTACGTTATGCCAATTTTACCCCAATTTTTAAAAAATTTACTGTGAACCTGCTTGCCTGCCATCCCAGAGAATTGCAAGACCCCTGCAGGATGGGACCTGTCCGCACTTCTGCTCCCTCACACCCAGGCTGGTGCTCAGCCTACAGCCTGAAGCCCGTATCAGCCCACGGCCTAGCAAACTCCTTTTGGAAAGTAAATATTCTGGATAGTAAATATTTTTGGCTTTGAAGGCCAGACGGTCTCTGTCGCAGCTCCCCTGCGGTCACAGCACAAAAGCAGTCGTGGACAATCAGTAAATGAACAGGCCTGGCCGTGGGCCAACACACTTCATTTTATGGACCCTGAAACGTGAACAGAATTTTCACATGGCAGGAAATACTACTCTTCTTGGGGTTGTTTTTCTTTTTTTTTCTTTTTTTAAACCATTTACAAATGTAAAAACCACTCCTGGCTTCACAGGCAGTACAAAAAACATGCAGTGGACTGGGTTTGGCCCACAGTGAACAATTTTGCTATGTGAACAATTATTACGGAAAAAGAATTCCGACAATTGGCGTTTCTAACATCCGGGACTTAAAACTTGAGCCCCTCCTGCAACCCAGACATAGAGATAAAGTGGAAGCCCTTAGGATGCCCTAGGGCCACCTACCCTCGTGTTTTCCAGATCTCACCTGGAGTCACTGAGTGACCTCCAGCGAGCCAGGGTCCACAGCACACAGAGGGAGCTCCCAGGCTCCCAGGCCGCAGCCTGTAGAAAGTTTGTGCTCACAACCTAAAAACCTGCTTTTGTTTTCCTTGCAGGCTTTTGGGAATGCTAAAACAGCCCACAACAACAATTCCAGCCGATTTGGGAAATTCATCCAGGTCAACTACCTGGAGAGTGGCATCGTGAGAGGGTGAGTTGGCAGCTGCCCACGCTGTGCACTCCAGCCTGGGTCTGGGGTCCTGGGCTTCCCTGCAGTGGAGAGCCAGGCCTGAGCCAGCAGGGAGCTGGGTGCTTGAAATGCTGGCCTTCCAGGCACTTGTGAATTGTACAGGGAAGCAAGCATGATTTTAAGTCACTGATGTGAAAGTCTGAGCAGTGGGTAGTGGTGGGAGGCATAGGTGGGGGAGGGGTGGCACCATAACCAATCCTACCATCCCCGGATCGTCCTCTGGGGTGTCAAGCATGGGTCTAAGCTCCCACGGAGTAAGTACAATGAGCTGGAGGTCCTAGTGTGATGGGGTTTGCCAAGAACTGGCAAGGGCACACCAGTCTATTTCCTGGTCTTGATGTTTCTAGTTGAGTGGGTCTAGGGATGCCACAGAGAGTTGATATAGACTCTGACACTTGCCAGACATGCCCCTTTAGCCAAAAAGAGACATGGTGCTAGGTAGCAAAGTGAGGCAGTTTTTCAAGGAAGGAGTGGGTAGAATGGAGGGATGGAGGGTAGATTGATGGATGGATGTATTCATGGGTGGATGGATGGATAGTTGGATTCATTGATGGATGGATTGATGGATGGATGGAGAGATTCATGGATGGATGGATTCATGGGTGGATAAATGGATGGATGGATGATGGTTGATGGATGGATTCAAGGATGAATGGGTACAGGGGGTGGGAAGGGACTAGGATTTCAAAATGTAGAATAGATAAACAAGATTGTACTGTGTAGCACAGGGAAGTATATACAGGGTCTTGTGATGGCTCACAGCCAAAGAGAATGTGACAATGAATGTCTGTATGTTCATGTATAACTGAAAAGTTGTGCTCTACACTGGAATTTGGCACAACATTGTAAAATGACTATAACTCAATAAAAAACATTTATATATAAAAAAACAACAAAAGGATGGATGGGTACATTCACGGATGGTTTGATTTGATGGGAGATTTATGGTTGGACAAATGGATGGATGGGTGGATTCATGGATGGGTGGATGGATGGATGGATTCATGGATTCTTTGGTAGATGGTAGATTCATGAGAGGATGGGTGGGTAGATTGATGAATTTAGATAGATACATGGATGAATAATAGGTGGGTGAGTCTATACTTGGTAACTGGATTGTGAAGTTGGCTGCCTGGTGAAAGTTAAAACAGATCAACATTTTGTGCCAGAAATGTGAGTTCTTTAGGTGGTGGCACAGTTACTTCCAACTAAACATGTAGCATTGAAATTGTGTTCATTTGCACTCTGTGCAATGGTTATACTAATGAAGATGTCTGGCAGCTTTATACAATGAATTAATGTTACAAGGAATTACCTGTTTAAGTCATAAAGTCATTTCAGAATTCAGTTCTGTAGGATTTTTTTTCTTTAAAAAATGTATATTTTGAGCAGTTTCAATTAGTTAAAAAAATGTAGTTGTGATTTAATACTGCTTAATGTTTTGGTTTTTTTTTTTCAGTATGTAGAGGTCCTATGAGCCAATAAAACTATTTCAAAGTTGTGGGGAGAAAAGGCATTTTGGCGCAGTCCATTGCCTAGTTGCTCCAAGGCACCCTCCTTCCTCCACATTCTGGTATGAGGGTCTGCGGTGGCAGTGGGATTTGCAAAGGCCCCAGGTGATGGTCTGAGCAGCAGGGTGAGAAGCCCTAATATGGGGAGACCTGAGCAACAGGCCCCTGAAGGCTGCGAGAAGGCACTGGTGTTGCAGGAAGGGAGAGGTCCTCTGGGGGATTGATTTTAAAGTTTCCAGGTTTTTCGGTCCATCTAAACCTGATTGGTCCGTGTAGACCTGATGATCATTTGACTTGATGATGCACATTCAAGACATGAACAGGAATGTTGTTTTCCTGAATCCTTCAGCCTCTGGCTTCCTTCCTTTTTCCTGCTACCCAGGCTTGGACAGGCAGGGGTGTGGGAGAGAGACTCTTGATAACTGCTGCGTCTGCCCTTTAGCCTTCAGGGACACTTGGAAGCGGACAGTTCTCCCCATGGCCTCAGCGCCACCATGGGTCATCAGGTGGTGCCTTCCTGAGTCCTCCTGGGCCCAGAGCCACCCACCTGACCCCACCTGCCCCGCAGGTCTCAGCCTTTTCTCCACAAAGACCCTCTCTTCTTAATTTAAATGTATTTTTCTCCCGCAGGTCCATATTTTACACAGTGGTGTCTGCCACGTTGCAAAGCCTCTTGTCCAGCAGGCAATGCCCAGAGTATGTTACCAGGCAGACACACAAAAATAAACTGTTGCTATAATTCAGAAACAGGGACTCCTTTGGCAGGAGCAGAGACACCAAAAGGCTGCCTTTTGTTTCCCTGAGTCCCAGGCTGGCCCTGCAGACCTCAGGCCAGAAGCCAGAGCTTTTGCTACCAGCAGGCCCTGTTCCCCCCAGACACCTTTGCCTAGCTCTGTTCTTCACATGGTCTCTGTTTCATGTCCTATGGCTGCTGAAACAAGGTACCACAAACCAACTGGCTCCAAACAGTGGGAGCTTATTCCCCTACAGTTCTGAAGGCCAGAAGTCCAAGATCAAGGTATGGGCAGGGCTGCGCTCCCTCCAGAGGCTCCAGGGAAGGATCTCTCCTGGTCTCTTCCAGCTTCTGGTGGCCCCAGGCATCCTTGATTGTGGACACATCACCCAGTCTCTGCCTCTGTCTTCACATGGCCTTCTCCCCTGTGATCATCTCTTCTGTCTTTTAGGACATGTGTCCTTGGATTTAGGGCCTGTCTGGATCATGAAGGAGGTTCTCATCTCCAGATCCTTCACTTTATTGGATCTGCAAAGACCTTTTTTCACAGTCACAGTCATGGGTCCCAGGTGGACATTTCTGGGGGCCACCGTTCACCCCAGCTCACCAGCAGGACTGGCCCTCGGCTAAGTGTCTGGCCTGCCCTGTCTGCCTTGGCTCCCATCAGGCTCAGGACCAGAGGCTCCGGGTGGCTGGATCTCACAGACCAGCTTCTAAGAGTTGTATCGGTGGCCTTGGACTCAGGGAAGGAAGTCCTGCTTTGGCCCTTGACTCTGACCTGCCCACACTCCAAAGAGGAGGGTGCACTTCCCGTCCAGGGAGTGGCTGCAGCCAGCTCACCAGGAGTAGGCCTAGACTCGGTTCTGCTTTGGGACAGGTGACACTTCTCGCTGCCACTTTTCCGCCTAGGCCAAGGGTCAGGGGCAGTCCAGGCCTTTCCCCAGTTCCCCAATTTGCAAAGCTTCGTCTTCCTGTGGGCTCAGGGTTCAGTGCCAGGGAATTCCTGGCTCCCAGCAAGACCCCTGTAGGCTTCCAGAATGATCAGCAAAGGGAAAGGTCTGTGGCCGATCAAATGCCAGCTCAGTGCCCATGGGGTCGCTGTCCTTGCCCATGGGCCAACACAGCACAGGGAATCAGCTAGATTGAGACTGAAACATGAGTCTAGAACCAGATTCCACCTCCCTTCCCAGGAAAACAAACTGCTTATAACTCCAAGTTACTGGCTAGGGGAGGGAATGGAAGAAAATACGGGTTTCAAAGAGACAACACAGGCTGAACCCTTGGGAACCCCTGCATGCAGGTTGTGTGTGCAGGAATCTGAGAAGGCTGCAGACAGAAGACTGCCTTCCTAGAGAGAGAGGCAGGCAGCATCCAGCAAGCCCTGGACCAGGAGCCGACCCTACCACCCGCAGGCACCGGCTACCCCTTCTGTATAATAGGATGGGTTCGGATGAGGGTGGCCTGCAGACCCGTACATCTCACATCCTTGGTGATAGTGGGTCCCCGCCAGGCAACCTTCCCTCTGTGGGGCAGCATCCATATATGGGAACCGTCGTGCCCATCCCAGGGGGCATTTAAATCCATGGCATTAAATTAAAGCTGTGCCCAGAGACTCATAGATCTCCAAGGAATGTGTGATGTCTCTGTTAGCATGGAGGGTGTAGCTGCCCAGGTGCCCTTGTCCCTGGCCCAGCCCCCACACAGCCTCATGGACTCATTTCCGTCAGCCGTCAATCAACTGATGAGTGAATAAACAAAATGTGGTGTGTCTATATGTGTAGAATATTATTCAGCCATAAAAAAGAATGAAGGTCTGATACATGCTACAAGGCAGCTGAATCTTAGCATTGGGCTGAGTGAAAGAAGGCAGATACAATATCCATTTGACCCATGAACAACACGGGAGTTAGTTGAAAGTCCAAGTATAACTTATAGTCAGCCCCGTGTATCTGTGGTTCCTCCACATCCACAGTTCCTACATATCTGTGGTTCCACATCCGTGGATTCAACCAACCTCAGATCACGTAGGAAAAAAATCCAAAGGGGGTATAGCTCAGTGGTAGAGCACATACTTGGCATGCACAAGGTCCTGGGTTCAATCCCCAGTACCTCCATTTAAACAAATAAGTAAAAACCTAATTACTGCCACCCCCCTAGAAAAAAGAAAACTAAAAAAAAAAGATCTGAATATAAGTAGACCCACAGTTCAAATCCACATTGTTCAAGGGTCAGCTGTACGTACTAAGTGATTCTTTTTTATTATTTTTTTTAATTCTAGAAAATCCAATCTAATCTTTAGTGGGGTTGGTCAGTGGCTGTTTCGGGGTGGGTGGCAGGGAGGCAAAGGGCCCAAGGAGACTTTTCGGGCTGATGGATGTGTTTGCTATCTTGTTCATGGTGGTGGATCACAGGTGTTTGCATGTGTCACGAATCATCCAGTCACACATTTTAAGTTTATTGTACATCGATTATACCTAATGAAGCCGTTATTGAAAATTGCATAGATTCTAAAGGACACCATCAAAACTTACCTCGTTTTGCACTTTTGAGCACGCACAGTGTATTGTATATCAATAATTAACAAAGCTATTCTAAAAAGAATAGAAAAGTGAATCCAGTATCTTACATTTAGATTTTTAATTGGAGAAACATTTAATCACCAGAGACGCAGTGGGAGCAGGGTTGGACCCTCCGGTGTTACTTGTGAACACGTGGGTACAAGTGCTTCAGTTCCCACCGCCTTGGAGGGTGGGGGCGGGGTCCTACATGATGCCAGGTTGGGCTTCCATACAGCCATCAGCCCGAATCTGATCCGGGGAGCAGAAACGGCCAACCCAGGTTCCTTATTTTATAGATGGTAGTAGCAGGGCAAGGCACCTTTAGGGTGACTGCTTTTCCCTTTAGGGTGAGATGATACTTACAACACTTAAGGTGATTGCCTTTAGGTACCTGTGTTTACCTCGAGTCCAAGGAAGTTAATCCACAGCTGGCTTCACCACAGTTAACAAATCACTCCTCTTCTCCAAGGAAACAGTATTAATTTGTTAATTAATTTGTTCTTCTTTGTCCTCTTAATGACAGAGCTGTTGTTGAAAAATACCTGCTTGAAAAGTCTCGCCTGGTCTCTCAGGAGAAGGATGAGAGGTAGGAGGAGATTTCCTTGGTGAGCCACCACATCTGCCTCCTTCCCAACACAGGGAAGAAGCAGATGTCCCGAGGTTGCAGAAACCTGCTGGAGGCCAGGGCAGATCTCCTAGGAGCATGAGCTTTGCCACCTTCTCATGCTTATTTTTGTGCCTGCCCAAGGCTTTTTACCTGGAGTAGGTGCTCAGATGTCTGCCAAAAGGTGGGTAAATTAGAAGCATCTCTGCTCCACCAGTGAGCGAGACAGGCCCACCCCTTGAGGCATCTACTCACTGGAGAAACTCATGGCTTGGGTTTTGGTTTTTGTTTTGTTTTGTTTTGTTTTGACATAATAAGAATCAACTTACTGTCTCAAATTTGTACATACTCGAGGTGCTTTTTCCTCCCTGGTGTGATCTCCAAAGCAATATTAGTAGCGGTTTGAAGAGTAGCTGTTGCTCGGCCTCCAAAAACAACTTTTTTCTCCTAATTTTGACCTACAGGAACTACCACGTGTTTTATTATTTGTTACTTGGCGTCAGCGAGGAAGAGCGTCAGGAATTTCAGCTCAAGCAGCCTGAAGATTATTTCTACCTCAACCAGGTAAACAGCCCCGAGCCCCGGCCACAAACACAGCCTCTGTTCCCCACAGGCTGTTTACGCACTGCCGGGAGGTCAGAGGCCATCCGCCTTGGCCCTCTCCGGCCCCCAAACCGGCTCCAAGGAGGCCCAGAGTGGGGCAGCATAAAGGAGCCCATTCATTCCCCGTGTCCTGGGCCCTGCTCTATCGGTTCCAGCCAAAATCATTCCCGCACGCCACCCTCACCAGCCCTGAAATACCCAGAGCGCTGCTGACGTTGTTTTTCAGCATAACTTGAAGATCGAAGATGGGGAGGACCTGAAGCACGACTTTGAAAGACTCAAGCAGGCCATGGAGATGGTGGGCTTCCTCCCTGCCACCAAGAAGCAGTAAGTGGTGGGCCCAGCTGTCCGTGCCCCCTCCTGCATGGGCGCCCCCGGGCTTACCAGTCACTCTGAGATCTGACCCACACCCTCCTTGAGGCCTCACCAAGGAGAGTAGTCCAGTGACAGTGAGCACACGGAAGGGGGCTCTTGTCATTAGCCATAGGGAAATGCTAATTAAAACTGCAGGCCTTCTGGGGCAGGAAGGCGTAGCTCAGCGGCAGAGTGTGTGTTTAGCGTGCACGAGGCCCTGAATTCAATCCCCAGTACCTCTGTTAAAAAATTAATATAAATAACCAAACCTAATTACCTCCCCCCCAAAATAAAATATGATCTCAACATTATGTTTGGGGGGTAGGGTATAGCTCAGTGGTAGTGTGCTTAGCATGCACGAAGACCTGGGTTCAATCCCTAGTACCTCCATTAAATAAACAAACAAATAGACAAACCTGATTACCTCCCCCTATCATAAATAAATACATTAAAAAAAAAACCTCACAGGGCTTTTGCCCAGCAATGTGGATGTACTTCACACCACTGAGCCATACACTTAAAAACGGTCAAGAAGGCAAATTTTACATGATGTGTATTCTACCACAATTAAATATTTTTTCAATTCTTTGAAACCACACAGGGTATTCTCCACACCTGCCCAGACGTCTAGGATACCCATAGGGAACACCACCCAGCACGCTGCTGGGAGGGCACGAATGGGGCCAACCACTGCAGAAAACTGTCGGCGGTTTCCCCTGCAGATGTGTGACAACCAAAAGCATACGTTTGCTCACCCAGAGACACACGCACGCAGCAGCCTCATTTTATAACAGCCCCCAGCCCGGGAAACCCCCCGCAAATGCCCACCCAAAGAAGATTAAATGAATAAACACATTGCGATATATCCACACAGGGGTCGGCAAACTCTTTAGAGAGGGGCAGATAATACATATTTTCAGCTTCGAGGGCAAAGCAGTCTCTGTTACCTGTTCTTTCTGCTTGGTTTTGTTTCTTAATGACCCTTTAAAAACTTAAGAACCAGGGGAGATTATAGCTCAGTGGTAGAGCACACATTTAGCGTGCATGAGGTCCAGGGTTCAATCCCCAGTACCTCCACTAAAAATAAAGAAATAAATAAGTAAACCCAATTTTGGGGGGAACCCCCCAAAAAATTCAAAAAAATAAAAAGAACCGTTCTCAGCTCAGAGGCTGTGCAAAAACAGACCCCAGTTTGCTGACCCCTGGACTACTCCATGCACAGCAGTGGTTCTCACCCACTGGGGGCCCAGTTCTGCTCGCAGGAGCCACTTGGCCTTGTCTAGAGACATTCTGAGTGTCACACTGCACAGGGGCCGGGTGTCAGCAGTGCCGAGGCTGAGAAGTGCTGGTCAGCAGCATTAAGAATGAACAATGCTATGAAAAACATGGAAATTATTTTCTAACCGGATTGTGCCCTAGAAGTAAATTTGAGCTTATTATTTAAAAGAAAAGAAAAAAAAGAACAAACGATGCTTCATGCAGTGACATGCATGGCATCTCCACCTTACACTTTTTCAGTGACAGGCCAGGTACAAGTACATGTGATTTCATAGACGTCAAGTTCACAGACGATGCTAGATGCCAGGACTGCAGGTTCTTCTCCGGGGGCCAGTTAGGGTGGTTCCAGGGCCTAGAATGTTCTGTTCCCTGGTCTGAGTGCTAGTTACAGGTCTGTACATTTTGTGACATTTCATCAAACTACACTTGGGAAATTGTGTACTTTATTTTGTGTGCATGTTACGCCTCCATAAAAAAAAAATTTAAGCCCCCACCAACTCCATCACCACCATTACTGCCAAAAACAATAGAGATATATGCACCCAAAGTCCCATTCCATAGAGTCCCTCACAGAGGACTGAACGTTTTTCAGACCTGGCTTTACGAATTTAGCCCAGTTCACGGGAAGCTTCAGCCCAGTTCCCTGGAAGTCTCTGTGATCTTACGCTTGGGGAATCTGCCCCAACCTAGGCTCCTCTTCCCCCACAGGATTTTTTCCATCCTCTCGGCCATCCTGTATCTGGGCAACGTCACTTACAAGAAGAGAGCCACGGGCCGAGACGAAGGCCTGGAGGTTGGGCCCCCCGAGGTGCTGGACACGCTGTCGCAGCTCCTGAAGGTACTGCTCCCTGTCCCCAGCCACGGTGGCCGCCGAGACCCAGAACTTCCTGCAATGGCTGCACTTCTGTAAAGTGAGGCCTGTCTGCCTTCTCTGCAGTGTCCCTTCCTCATTTCTTTCTTTCTTTCTTTCTTTTCTTTTTTTTTTTTTTTTTTGGTACACATTGTTCACACCTATATTTCAAGTTTGGAAATGCATGTTTGCAAGCAGCAAAAGAAATACAAAAGTATTCATAAAGGAGAGGGGAGTGTATAGCTCAGTGGTAGAGTGCATGCTTTATAGCTCAGTGGTAGAGTGCATGCTTAGCATGCACAAGGTCCTGGGTTCAATCCCTGGTACTTCTATTAAGATAATAATAATAATAATAATAATAATAATAATAATAATAATAATAATAATAAAACAGTAACAATAACAATAATACCTAATTACCTCCCCCAAAAAATTTTTTAAAAATTTTTTAAGTATTCATAAAGAATGCATAATCTCTGAAAATGATGAAAACATCCCAGCTGTCTATCATAGTTGCTTCCATGTAGTGAGAGATCTTTTTAAATGGAAGTGTAACTGATATACAACATTTGTTTAGTTTCAGCTGTACAGTATAATGATTTGGTAGTTGTATACGTTGCAAAATGATCATTACAATAAGTCTAGTTAACATTTGTCACCATACATAGCTACAGAATTGTTTTCTCTTGTGATGAGGACTTTTAAGATCTATTCTCTTAGTGGTTTTCAATTATGCAATACCGTCTTATTAATGATCCTCACCGCGCAGTGCACTGCATCCCCATGACTTATGTTGTAACTGGAAGTTTATGCCTCTTGACCCCTTCACACATTTTGCTCACCCACTACCTCTGGCAACTACTAATCTGTTCTCTGTACTGATGAGCTTAGGGGGGTTGGGGTTTTTTGTTTTTTAAGATTCCACATGTAAGTGAGATCATACAGTATTTGTCTTCCTCTGTCTGACTCATTTCACTTAGCGTAGCAGCTTCAACATCCACCCTGTCCTCATTTCTGAAGGACTCCCTTCTGGGAAGGGCCACTTCCTACCTCAGCCCCTCACTTGAAAGGCTCTTTAGTATCATCGTTTATATATATTATATATAACTGAACTGGTTTACTGTATACCTGAGATTAACACAATATTGTAAATTTACTGTACTTTAATTTTTAAAAAATCATTTGATTTATGAGGTCATTTTCTCATTGGACCATCCATCCATCCATCCTCTTATCCACTGGTCCTCAACCCTGGAAGCATAGGGCCATGTCTGGAATCTTTTTGGGCTGGGGTACTACTGTCATCTGGCGGATGGAGGCCAGGAACGCTGTTTGACATGATGTAATGCACAGGACAGTCGCCCACAGCAAAGACTGACCTATTCCCAAATGCCTGTGGTGCCAGGGCTGTTTTCTAAGCATGCATGCCATCTGTGGCTCTTTAAGAAGGTGTGCCTGGCTGGGGAGGGTATAGCTTAGTGGTAGAGTACCTCTATTAAATAAACAACCAAACAAACCAACCAAATCCTCCCCCCCCCCCGCAATGGTGTGCCTGCATGTAGAAGCCCCAGCTTCTGTCGTATTCCTGTGGGTGAGTGAGCATGTCTGCCGGCAGATTGGGACAGCCCTCCCCTTCACATCCACCCCGTCTCTTAACTGCCACCCACTCATGGACAGGGTTTGGCAGTCAGGGAGCGCTCAGCCCCTCGCTCAGCCCCCACACCCACGGCAGGAACCCGCCACCAACAGCAACAGCTGTAAACGCAGGTCGCCAGGCGGCACCTGAGCCCAAGGCCTGCAGTGACACCCAGGCCCGTGCGGCCACACTCTCAGGGCCGTTGAGCAAACCTGTGGGTGTGATCATTCTGCGACACGCTGAGCGCAGCACACACTGTGGGCTGGCAGCCCTGAGGGTGAACTCTGGGCCCCCTTCCCGCCCTGGCTGCTGGGGTCCTTCTCCCACCCTCCTCAGGCTTTGCCTCAGTGGCAGAAGGATCCAATCAACAAGCTCTCCAACCCCTCTCCCCTTCGCTTTTTAAAACCTTTTTTTATTTTTTTTAATTGAAGTATTGTTGGTTTACAACATTGTGTTAGTTTCAGGTGTACAGCACAGTGATTCAGTTACATATATATTCTTTTTCAGATTCTTTTCATTATTATAAGTTACTACAAGATATTGAATATAGTTCCCTGTGCTATACAGTAGGACCTTGTTGTTTATCTGTTTTGTATATATAGTGTGTATCTGTTAACCCCAGATCTCCTAATTTATCTCTCCTCGCCTCTCTTTCTCCTTGACCTTGAAACAGGTGAAGCGAGAAATCTTGGTGGAAGTTCTGACCAAAAGAAAAACAGTGACCTCCAATGACAAGCTCATCCTTCCCTATAGTCTCAGTGAGGTGAGCACTGCTCTGGGCTCTCGTCGGGTGCCAGCCCCCCAAAGTATGAGTGCAGGACGAAGGGGTGGTCCTCCAGGAACAGCTAGTATGGGTGGTCTTTTGCCTGCCCCTAAAGTGATGGAGGAGAACCCTGCAGCCACCTATGGTTCTCATGTAAGGTCAGGTGGGGTACAAACCAGCTCAGACAGCTCGAGGGCCAGAGCTAGGGCCATGTATGTTGGTCTCTGTGTTTCTAGCTGCTTGGTGGGCACGCGGGGCCAGACCTGGCCCACCACTTGCTTCTGTCAATAAAGCTTTATTGGCACATGGCCACACCCATTCATTGACACGCTGCTCTCCTGCCGCAGCGACAGAGCTGAGTAGTTCAACACAGGCTGACTGGCCCTTGCCAGAAAAAGTTTGTCAACCCCAGGGCTTGAGTATGACCTTTACAAGAATCACGTGGGCCCCTCAGTCTTGATAAGGTGCCTCTCTATGGCCTTTGCCCCAGCCTGGATGTTTTCTCTGAGGCGAGTTTTTTTGCCTTTTTACACCTCAAGAGCAATGTGACTTTGCAGCGTGGAGAGCAGCAGGAAAGTACCTAGCCACGGGGGTGGGGAGGTTTTTAGCTGATGGTGGAAGCTGCTTGGGCAGGCGGAGCTCGAGTGGGCAAAGGCACCCAGCCATGGGACAAGAAAGTGGCTGCAGGTCACCTGAGACCGCAGCACAGCTGCCCCCCAGAGGTGTTGAGCTGAATGGAAAAACTTTAGGCGCTGGGGCTGCGCCCCTCCTGACCCCATTTCCTCAAAACCAGAGGGACTTGTTCTAGATCTTGATAGCAGCCGAAGAAGTCTTGTCACAACTTAGATCTGAGAACATACAAAAAAGGAATTTCTTATGTGTAAATTTGACCTCAAACAAGCCTTTTTAAAAAAATTGTAAAAGCCATCACTGCTTTTAGGCCCCCAGAGGCGGCCTCATGGGCCTCCCAGAACTGCAGGGGGCCTGGCTTTGAACCTAGCTCAGCTTCATGGTTAGTTCTCCCATGGCGCCTTCCCTGAGCTGGCGTTCCCACCCCAGCTCCGAGGAAGGAGAGAGACTTAGGAGTTCCAAGGAGAGAGAAAGACTTGGCCAAACCACAGGCTGCTGGGTCAGGGCTTCACACTTCACGCGTGAGTGTGCAAGGGCGTCCAAGCTGACGGGATGGCATGTAAAGTGAGAGGGGGTGCACTGGATGAGCTGAGTGTGGAAAGTCACCACCTGCATCTCCCAACGTGTGCAGACCTTGGGGCCCTCTCTGCCAAGGTGTGACTCCCCCTCTGTGCCCCACAGGCCATCACCGCCCGTGACTCCATGGCCAAGTCACTGTACAGCGCCCTATTCGACTGGATCGTGCTACGGATCAACCACGCCCTCCTTAACAAGAAGGACATGGAAGAGTCCGTCTCAGTGAGTGCCACACACCCTCCTCCGGAGACCGGTGACATCGGGAGCCGAGGTGGCCACACTCAGCGTCATCGGGCGAGAGGCAGATTCCTCCCAGGGAACGGGATGGGATGCAATTCTTGGGGCCCAGCTCAGAATGAGAACACAGGGCTCCTTGTTTCGTATTATGGGGTCCTAGGCAGCAACAGCAGAGCAGGCCCTCACCACCAAACAGATTGCTCCCACAGGAGGATCTACCAGTAATAACCACTTCCTCCGCCTCCCCCCAGTGCTTGTCCATCGGGGTCCTCGACATCTTTGGGTTTGAAGACTTCGAGAGGAACAGTTTTGAGCAATTCTGCATCAACTACGCCAACGAGCAGCTCCAGTATTACTTCAACCAGCACATTTTTAAACTGGAGCAGGTAAGGAAATACCAGCTCCTGGGCCATCCAGCCCAAGGAGGAGCGGAAAGAGCCAGAACTGGGATCTCCCTTGGGGCCTGGTTTGTCAGCAAAACTGCCCCAGAATTTTTCTCTGCAAAAAAGGGAGAGTCCGGGAAAAATTCTGCTCCCTTCCCCAACCCCCCAGCCCAGGATGAGGCAAATGTCAGGGATATTTGGGGCCGATTTTGTACCTTTTCTCTGCTCAAATGTGAAAGTCCTTTCAGTGGAGAGAAACTGAGTTGCGCTGTAAGGATTTGCTTTGATCAGCGAAATAATAGCCTTTCTTACATGTCTTTTCACTGCTAAATAGCCAGCTGTCTTTACCCAAATATCATCCTCCACATGATTGATTCCAACACGGAAAGAAAACTGATTGATTTATATAGATAGTTGGCTAATTTTACTATCACTCCTTCTGGCCAAAACTCAACGTTTCTCACTTGAAATATGGCTGGTCCAAATGGAGTTGTGCAAGAAGAGCAAAATACACAGTGTATTGCAAAGACGTAGTGTGGGATTCAGAGTGGGAGGAGAATGTAAAATGCCTCATCGATAATTTTTTATATCAGTTACATGTTGACGTAATCATACACCTTTGATGTGTTGGATTAAGTTAAGTCTGTTGTTAAACATTAGCCTCACCTGTTTCTTTTTACATTTTTTAATGTGGGTGTTAGAAAATTTGAAGTGATACAGGGCACTCACATTATACGACTATTGGACGTTGTGATTCCAGAGCAGGGCAGGTGAAAGGTACCGGCACGTGGCCATGCCCATTTGTTCGCGTAGCCTCTGTGGCCACTCTCTGGCTACAACAACAAAGCCGAGTAATCATTGCAGACACCCCCGAGCTCGTGAAGCCTAATATATTTACTGTCTGGCCCTTTACAAAGGAAGTTTGCCGACCCCTGAGTGATTTTAAGTGGAATTCTAAGCACTTTGCTGTGATAGATCTTAGAAAATGTATGTTCTATTTCCTGTAGCTAATTGTTAATTTATCTAATAATTTTACATATTAATGTATTCCTATTGTCATTTTAATATGCGTTCTGTTATTCACACATATTTATATGCTTATTAACTTATTAAATATATTTAACATATATTAAATACATTTTATTTTTTACATTAAATGTATTTAATATATATTAACTATATGTCATATTATAGTTAATATATATTAATTTAATATGTAAATAACTACATTAAATATAAATGTTATGTTTTACATAAACATGTGCGTGCATACGTAAATACACTTTGTTTACATACGGCGTGTGCTCGGTCAGTATTAATGTGTCCGTGAACTGATGAACTAACCGGATGCCCCTCGGACCCCACAGGAGGAGTACCAGAGCGAAGGGATCTCGTGGCACAACATTGACTACACAGACAACGTTGGCTGCATCCATCTGATCAGCAAGAAGCCCACCGGCCTCTTCTATCTGCTGGACGAAGAGAGCAAGTAAGTATCCACCGCCCCGTGTGTCCGCAGATCTGGGCACTCAGTCCTGTTCCACAACCCCAGAGCCTCACCCCGAGTCCACACCATCCTGAGAACGGCTGAGTTGCTCAGACTCACGTGGCCAGAAATCGTGATCTCACGTTTGCAGAATATTTCACCACAGAAATATTAACGCTCTCAATCACTGTGAACTCAGAAACACACCCACCCGGGAGTTCTCGGGGGAAGATTGTGGGACCTGAATCTAGACACTGAGCACAGGGTCGGTGCCTCCTTGCAAAGGGCAATGCATAGAATCAGGGGCCTAGATGCCAGACTCTCCCCTGAGGACACGATGAAGCCTGGACAGGGTATCTTTAAGGTGCTTCATGCTCAGTCACCCAGCCGGAGTTCCTAAAATCACAGACACTAAAATTCACTTGCTGAACTTCCTTCCTGTAGCTGCTGTAGAAAATGGCCACAGAGCAGACAGCCTAAAACAACAGATTTATTCTCTGGCAGTTCTGGAGACTGGAAGTCCAGAATCAGTAGTGATGGGCCAAAGTCAAGATGTGAGCAGGGCCATGCTCCCTCCCAAGGCTCTAGGGGAGGATCCTTCTTTGCATCTTCCAGCCTCCGGGGCTCCAGGTGTTCTTGGCTTGTGGCCGCATCACTCTAGTCTCTGCCTTACTAGCCACAGCACCTTCTCTCCATCTCATCTCCTCTTATAGAGACTCCAGTGGTATTGAATTACTGCCCACCCTAATGACCTCATCTTAAGTTGATTATATCTGCAAAGACCTGTTTTGCAACAGGGTCACATACACAGGTTCTGAGGGGTCAGGACGAGGACATCTTTTTATCAACAACCTTATCAGGCCCCTCAGGGCTGGGGTAAATCAGGCTCACCTCCTGCCTCAGACCAAGTCCCACCTGGGACAGGAGAGACACATCCATTCTAGGCCGGGATCTGGGGAGAGAATGTTCAGCTTGGGGTCAAGGTGCTAGAATGGGCTGAGTCGTCACTCCCAGGAAATTCCCAGAGACAAATCTGGGGAAGGCATGTGAGGCAGGGCCCAGCTGAGCAGGGTCAGATCTGTCTTTGTTTAAAATCTTGCTATTTCAGTCCATCATGGATTTTTTTTGTTTGTATGTGTGCATTGAATGGGATTTCCTAAAATAGTATGTTGAAATGTTATTTATTTCCACAACTGAGTGAACGGGTGTCTCACTCTCCACACCCTGGCCCTGGAAAAGATGTGCCTCATAGCTTAAGAATCTCCCCCATGCCCCCCATGAAGTCATGAAGCTGGGCATCAGGGATTTGGAGGCACATTCTGCTGCCCGTGTTTGTGGTGAGGCCAGGCACAGGCAGGGCATTACCAAAGCCAACAGTGGCATTTTCTTCCTGGGAGGCTGAAATAGCCAGGTACAACGGCTCCCTTATTCTGCCCCTGGCCCCTCCTTCTAACAAGGGAGCACAGGCAAGACCCACTCTTAAGCATCCAGGTACAGACCCATCTGCAACCAGAAGTCACCCAGGCCCGGGATAATTCCAGGAGCTGCACCATGGTGGGCCCAGGTCGCAGTCTTGCCTGGAACCGAACATTCTTGTGGGCCACCCAGCCTGGGCACTGGGCTGCTCTACCTGTTCCAAGTTTGCTCAGCAGCCCTGAGTGCACCCCTTTGCCCTGGGCCTCTGCAAACCAAGCAGAGGTTCCCCACCCTCGGCCACGTGCTCAACCCAGAGCAGCTTGGGCACCTGCCTACCTCATCTGCGGCGGGTCCGCAACCTGGATTGCAGAGCAGATGCCCAGCTGCTGTCCCTGCCATTAAAGGTCTCAAATCTTCTTCCCAGCTTTCCCCACGCCACAAGCCAGACCCTGCTGGCCAAGTTCAAACAGCAGCACGAGGACAACAGGTACTTCCTCGGCACGCCCGTCATGGAGCCGGCGTTCATCATCCAGCACTTCGCAGGGAAGGTGAAATATCAGATCAAGGTAGGCATCTGTCTGTCTCCATCGTCAGTCAAGTCACGCTCTGTCTGGGAGGCGGGAAGGGGACCATGTGGGTGCCCTGGGGGCCCCTTCCCTCTGGCACTTGCTCCGTCCCTCTTCTTGATCGGTTTTGCTGGCCGAGGTTCCAGGGCGCTCAGACCCAGCGTCAAACCTCGGGCTCTACTGTCTAGGGCCTCACAGGCAGGAACCGCCTCTCTCTCGTTGAGATGGGCCCCGCCCCACTGCCAGCCCTTCTTCCCGTGTTGGCCCCCAGGGCCTCGGCCAGCACTGGCAAATGACTACCCGCCTCCGTTCCCCCTCCAGGACTTCCGGGAGAAGAACATGGACTACATGCGGCCGGACATCGTGGCCCTCCTGCGGGGCAGCGACAGCTCCTACGTGCGGGAGCTCATCGGCATGGACCCAGTAGCCGTGTTCCGCTGGGCGGTGCTCCGGGCCGCCATCCAGGCCATGGCCGTGCTCCGGGAGGCTGGGCGCCTTCGGGCTGAGAGGGCCGAGAAGGCTGCAGGTAGGAGGGGTCCCCACTCATGTCACTGTCGAGAGGGGGACGCTCATAGTTCCTTTTTTTTTTTTTGCTTTTTTTTGGTAGTGAAGGTATTAGGGATTGAATGCAGGACCCCAAGCATGCTAAGCACATGCTCTACGACTGAGCTATACCCCCAACCCCTGCTCATAGTCCATTTTAAAGTGTAAATTTTCGTGGCATTTACCATGTTCCCAACGTTGTACTACTAGCACCTCTATCTAGCTCCCAAATTCTTTTCTCATGCCAAAGGGAAATTCTGTAGCAGGGTGTATAATTTAACCTCCTTGTCATCACAGGGCAGCAAGATGTATCATAATTTTTCTGTAAGGACCCAGAAGGGCTGAGTGCTGTCTCGGGGTGACTCAGCTCCAGATACCAGCCACAGCCAGCGTTCCGTTTTAGGAAAGGTGTTGATTAAAAGGAAGACCAAAAGGTTAAAGCCTTTCTGAGTAGAAAATAGATGTGGTACTGTTTTGGGGGGAAATGGAATGCTTCTTGGTTCCCTGTTCTGCCCAGGTTTAAGTGTCAGGCTTTTTTTTTTTTTTTAGCGGATTTAAGTCAGGATCACAGTCTCCATGGAAAAGTTCCAAAGCCCTTCAGGCCCCAGGTGACCCCCCACCCACCCAACAAACTCCATACACTCTGTGTCCCCAGCAGGTCTGGGCAGCTCTGGTCCCCGAAGTCACCTGGGAGAGCTGCACAGAGGAGCCAGCACCCCGTCAGAAAAACTGTACCGGTGAGCGAGCCCTTGATTTGTCCCATCCTTGGCCGGTAGACAGCAGCATTGTTTAAAACAGCGCCAGAAACCTGACAGTCTAAAACGCAGGTCGAGGTTGACCTGAATAAGGAACCCACAGGCCACTTGAACCAGAAAGACCCAGAAGTAGTGGCATCTGGTTGCTACGTTTCTGCGCACAGAGGCAGGCCTCGTGCATCATCTGCTCTGGGGAGGTGTGGGCAGCTCAAGTTACAAAGGATCCTTTTCATGGCTGGTCATGACCGTTGGCGGCTGGGGCCAAAGGGCTGTGGTCTCTTATATTAAGAGTATTTCCTCCCTTAGCCTGACTGGGGTGTCCTGAAAGCAGATTTGCTAAGTTACTTCACTGTCAGTCAGAAACACAGACTCATCATTGCACGTGCGATGACACAGGGTGTCTTTTGACCACCTAGCAAATACCAGGGGTCCTCCATGTACCCCAGTTAGTACTGGCTGTAAAAGTGAGTGGGCCTGTGCTTCCAGGAAGGTGGGGTGGAAAAGGCCACACTAGACAGACACCTGAGGCCATGACAAAGCCAGAGGAGGGAAGCCTCTGGCAGCCTGAGAGAGCTGTGCAGGCTGCATTGAGAAGGGGCCAGTTGGGCCAGACAAAGCAGGCAGGGTGTGCAAAGGCCCTGGGGCAGCTGAGTCCCCAACTTCTTCCTCAAGACTCACGGATTCCCAAGGAGCAAGTCACTAAATTTTCAAACCCGAAAGAGTCATTTTATTTTTGAGTACTTTGTAATAAAAACTGCTCCAAGAGATTCATAAAGGCACATGTGTGGAGGTAGAACTAGCACCTCGGTAAGTGACCATGCGTCATTTGTCTGAAAGCGCAATGTCATTTTCCTGCTTTTAAAAAGGTGCACTTTTAAATCAGCCAAAAGGAGAGAAGAGGAAAAACAAAAACAAAAAACCACTTTCCCCTATTTGAAAGTGGCCCCTGACCCACCTGGTCTCCCTAGGGCCTGGCCCCTGGGGCTGTGAGTCCCACCCCAAGAGCGCATTTAGTTTATACAGATTCTCCCTTTCAGCTGTTCAATGCTAGATTTCTCATTTGACGGCTCTGAGGAGTTCGATATTAACGCTTTTGAGGACATCATTGCTTTCTATGAAAGCAAGAAGTAAGTAGAAACAAGGGCCTTCGAATCTGAGACCAGGGAGGCATGCCAAGAGGAGCTATTGTCCTGAGGTGCTCAGCTCAGCATCCAGAGCCAAAAGAGAGGGCATCGACAGGCTGGGGGCCACTCTCGCCAGATTTGGCCTGGTCGGGGGGGTGTGGGCTGAAGCCATGGGCCTTGGTGGGTGCTCTGGCTGCTGCACTGACCGCTCAAGGGGCAGAGGTGAAATGTGACCCCTCTGTTGTCTTTGCTCTGTGCCTCCCTGGAGGGCAAGGGAGCAGAGGTAAGTGCAGCCATCCGGACCCAGGGCATGGTGCATGGAACACAGACAAGGGGCTGCTGATCGGGGTCTTCCCAGGCCAACTGCCCGGAGCTTAAACATGTATTTAAAATAACTGAAATGAGGAATTAAAAAAGATAAAAGCAAAAAACAGAAAACCTTCCAGCTCATCCTGTAGTCATCGCTACCTCATTTCCAGAAGTACTTACTGTCCAAAACATTTATGATCTAGACATTTTTCACAACCGTCCATTTTTCAGAGCATTCCGTTTTCTCAAAGCCATTCTTATTCTTACACCCAAGATGTATGCTCAGCCCCGAACTCATGGAGATCAAATGAAATAAAGCTGATAAGGTTGAATTCTGTAGGGTAAAGATCTTCAACTAAGGTTTCTCACCCTCGGCCGTCTGCGGGGTCACTCTGGTGGGATGTCCTGTGCATTGTAGGGAACTGAGCAGCATCCCTGGCCCTCTCCCAGCAGGTGCTAGTAGCGCCCCCTCTCCCAGTTGGGGCAACCAAGCATCCCCTAGGGAGGTGGCAGGGGAAGGGCCAGCGTCGCCCCATTCGATAACCCCTGTGTGAATTCCAATTCATTCCTCCCAAGGCATTTCTTAGAGGCTGACATGTGGCCACAGAAATGCCAAGAGAAACTAAAGTGCTGCCTCCCACAGAGACCTCCCGATCTTCTGTTTTCAGTAGCCCCTTGATGCTTTTTTACGGTCTGCAAACGGCTATTAAACATGAAGCCTTTTCCAACAATCCGAGATGCCATGTTGCAATCTCTGTTTAGCTCAAAGTGGCCTAGCCACACTCCGCACCCCACTACAGAGGAGGAAGGAGCCTTCTGGATGTGGGCAGCCACTCCTGTCCGAACCTCCCTTCTTAGTGTAGGAGGGAGTGGCAGCAGCGTGCAGGCTCCCCCGGCTGCATGTTTTGGCTCCAGTGGCCTAGGGATGGTCCCGACTGCGCCAGGGACCCCCAGGTGGCGGGCCGCTGCTCTAACTCAGTCTTCTCTCTGTCACTGCACCCCCTTCCCCCCACCCCCCAGCGATTTGCATGACCAAATCATCAGGACCATCAAAGGATTGCCCTGGCAGGGTGAGGATCCCCGTAGGCTTCTCCAGTCCCTCAGTCGGCTCCAGAAACCCCGCACCTTCATCCAGTGAGTCCCCCCAGGCTGCGGGCACCCCCTTCTCCCACAAGTGCAACGACCGCCTCCCCGCTCCCTGTTCCTGTAACGCTGAGTCAGCTGCTCTAAATGCTGCGCTGCCTTGTGGCTCCATTCTCACGCCAGCCGCCGCTAAGTGGTCCTCGTAATCCTCCCACCCCTGTGTCTGCGCTGTGACCCATATCCTTGCCAGCTCCCCAGTGCCCAGCATAGCTTCACAGAAACACTCCTCCCATGAAGCATCTGATTTTCTGCCCCCAAAACGTGCAGAGCAAGGCTTGCTTCCCCTCCCACCCCCACCACCTTTGCCACTGCGAGTTTACACAGCAGCCGTCAGCAGCAGGGTGTGCGATTTTGCGGCCCATGACCCTGCATCGTGGGCATGACGTGGTAGAAAGGGCCAGAAACCACGCAGATAGGGTTTGGACCTCCCACTAACTCACTGCGTGACCTGAGTGCTCTGAGCATTTGGCCCGTGTCTACAGAGCAGGAGTGATGATTTTCATACCAGGCAGGCGGCCACGCAGGGCTCAGGCCGGCCGAGAGCGAAGCTCGTGCCTGCAGTGGGGCCCGTTTACAAAGTCATTTTTATTATGCCTTATTCCACCCCACGGGGATTAAGATGAAACCTGACACACAAAGAACTCCCGGCCGAGCGTCTCGCAGGTCTGTGGGGCACCATTTCCTCAGCGGGTCTTTAAAACAGGCCAAGTTGCAGATTTTTAAAAAACCTTTCTCTTCCCACAAGATTCCTAAAGTGTCTGAGAATGTGGGGGTCGTCCCCCCTCCCTTGGCCAGAAGATTAGCTTTCGTTTTTAACCTTCCACTAGTTCAAGTCCAGAAGGCACCCCTATCCAGGCCCCATCTCAGATCTCTGGGAGGTAGACCCTTGCCCTGCTTAGGGGGGGGTGTCCAGAAGGGTTGCTGTGGGCCTGCTTGGCGTTTGCCAACATACAGCAAATAGAGCTGGGACACTCGTAGGCGTCAGGGCCACACGGGATCCCTCGAAGCCCCGTTTGGGGCGTCCCACCATCCCTTTGTGATTTCCGTCAGCTCCCCCAGAGCAGCCCCGCGCAGATGCACACTCTGCCCTTTTAGCAGCCAGCCCCCACGCCAGGTGCTCCTGCCATCCCGGGGCAGCCGCTGGCCCAGTAAGGCCACTGCGCACAGTCACAGGAGCGCCCTCTACACGCACAGGGAGCCCCCAGGTCCTTGGCGAGGCGGCGGCCTCGTTGCACTTGTGCCCCTAGAGTCCCCGCTCTCTCTCTTCTGGCTCCATCTAACCCACAAGGCGTGGCTTGCTGAACTAACCCAGATCCAGACTGCGTGTCCCTTGTGTTCACAAAACCGTTTTTAATATTTTGACAGGAAAAGTAAAGGTATCAAACAAAAGCAGATCATTCCAAAGGTAAACACGTGCGTCACCGTCTAACACTGCCTTGCGGGCACCTGGCTCAAGTTCTTTTTTTTTTTTTTTTTTTTTTTTCTTTTTTACGTTTACGTAGGTAGGTGGGTGGTCTTCTTCTCTCGTTCGTTTCTTTTCTTTCCTTCCTTCTCTCTCCTCCTCCTCCCTTCCCTTACTTAAC